AAGGAGAGAAGGTGTGGTTAGGAAAACTTGATCAGAGGAAAGGATGGTTTCCTGATCTACTCAGATGATTTTTTTTTAATGTGCTGGTATCTGAATGTCTGGGTCGCAGCCATGTTAATCCACTTACCGTTACAAAAAAAAAAAAACACTGGAATCAACTTTAGAAAAGGGAGTCCAACAAGAGGGCACCTCAGACAAAGCTCTTGTTGAGCAAGTCTGATGACCTGAGTTCGAGGAATCCATGTGACAGTGGAGTGAGAGAACTCTGATCCTTACCTGTATGCTGTGGTTCACACCGGTCTGCCTGTCTGTATTCACACACACACTTGAAAATAATTAATGGTGGAGCACACGTTTAGTCCCTGCACTTGGAAGGCAAAGGCAGGCAGACCTTTCTAAGTTCGAGAATATCTTGGTCTATATAGTGAGTTCCAAGCCAATCAGAGCTACACTGTCTCAAAAAATACAAAATTTAAAAACCTTCATATAAGATCCAGGTGGTCGTGGCACACACTTTTAATCCCAGCACTCATCGGACAGAGGCAGGCAGATCTCTGTGAGTTCCTGGCCAGTCTGGTCTACAGAGTGAGTTCCAGGACTACACAGAGAAACCCTGTTTCAAAAAACAAGAAAAAAATTACCCTTATAAAGAAGTGTTTTGGTGCACAGTTTCTGCGGTTCTGGTCTGTGGCACTTAGTCCTGTTGCTTTGGGCCTGTCCCGCATACAGGACACCACAGCAGGAATGGATACAGTCCTCCTCACCATGGCATCCAGGAAGCTAAACCAAGAAGGAGAGGCTGGCATCTCAGTTTCCTCTTCAAGGGCACATCCCAGTGGCCTAACTTCTGTAGCTTGCTTTTTTTTGCTCTTTGGGGGCTCACCAGGCAGCTCCCAAATAAATACACAGAGATTTATTCTTTCTTATGAATGCTCAGCCTTAGCTTGTTTCTTGCAGCTTTTCTTAAATTATCCCATCTATCTTTTGCCCCTGGGCTTTCATCTTTCTCTATTCTATATACCTTTCTTTACCTCTTACTTGTGGCTGGTTGTGTAGCTGGGTGACTGCCCCTGGTGTCCTGGTGTCCTCCTCTCCTCCTTTTCTCATTCCTCCCTCTTTGCTCCTCTATTTATTCTCTCTGCCCGCCAGCCCTGCCTATCCTTTCTCCTGCCTCACTATTGGCCGTTTGGCTCTTTATTAGACCAATCAGGTGTTTGAGGCAGGCAAAGTAACACAGTCTTACAGAGTTAAACACATGCAACATAAAAGAATGCAGCACATCTTTGCATCATTAAACAAATGTTCCACAGCATAAACAAATGTAACACATCTGAAAATAATATTCCACAACAAGCTTTCTTCTGCCAGGTCTTGTTTTGAAGTCCTAAGTATTTGTAGCAGCAGCACAAACTACAGTCAAACCTTTAATGCTCAGGACCTTTAGGGACCATTCAAGATCCAAAATGTGGAATGCCTGGTCCTGTGCTCTCCCAATGCCCAAACCAAGCAGAGCTATGCTGTTGCTAAAACACCTTGGGGGAGAGGTGTGTGTGTGTAGGTGGGGAATTGGAGAGGTGGCTCAGAGATTGGGAGCATTGACTATTCTTCCAAAGGTCCTGAGTTCAATTCCCAGCAACCACATTGTGGCTCACAGCCATCTATAATGAGACCTGATGCCCTCTCTGGTGTGCAGGCAAACATTGATTTAAAAAAACAAAAGCCCAAAATACCTTGCCTCCCCACCTAAGGGCCCAATAAACCCAGGTGTGATTCTACCAAAGCCCACCAGGGGGACCAATGAGTTCATTAGGCTTACAGAGCAATGGGAGAGGGCTAAGGGAGACCTTAAAGCAGCTAGGATGGAGCCAGGTGGTGCTGCACGCTTTTCATCCTCGCACTCAGGAGGCATAGACAGGCAGATCTCTGTGAGTTTGGGTCTACAGAGCGAGTTCCAGGACAGCCAGGGCTACACAGAGAAACCCTGTCTTGGGTGGGGAAAGCAGCCTCTTGGAAGGTCTGAACTCCAGGGAGATGACAACTTCCCAACGGCTGTGTAGATGGATGGAGCCCCCTTTCCTCGTCTTTCCCCACCTATATCCTCCAGCCCTGGGCCCCAAAAGCACACGCAATTGGGCAGAATTGCATACAACTATTTGGGGTGGAAACTCAGATGAGGATCCCATGACCCTCCCCTCCCCTTCTTCTATGAAGGAAGGTAAATAGCCAACAGACCCAGGTGTGATGAAGTTTTGCAGGCAGGCTCAGCAAAACTCTTAAAGATGGTGGCAGTTTGGGTCAGAAAAGTCCTGTACAACAGGTGCACACCTACAATCACTTGAGAGGGAGGCAGGAGGACCAGAAGTTCACAGTTATCTTTGGTTACAAACTAAGTTTGAGGTCAGCCTGGACTGTAGACCCTGTTTGTTTGTTTGTTTGTTTGTTTGTTTGTTTGTTTGTTCTGAGATAGGGTGTTGGGGTTAACCTGGAACTCACAGAAATCTGCATGCCTCCGACCCCCTAGTACTGGGATTAAAGGTCTTCAGAGTACTATTTGCATTCATGCGCAACAGCGAGTTTCTGAAGAAAGGCCCAGGAAGCCCAGAAAACTTATGGGCTCAGGATGTTGGAGAAGTGCTGGGAGCCAGCACATTGTGAGTCAGTGGCAAACAGGCTGACAGCTTAGAAATGAGGCTCAGATAGTCAACTAGATCCGTCAGAGTTGCCTGTGAGCAAGGGAGGTTGTATGCACCGAAGTGAAGTCTGCTATGGTAAATAGCAGTGATCGGCTGGTTTAAGTTAATTCCTGCATTTATACCAGCATTGTTGATTGATTGCATTAGCCTGTCAATTTTCTCAGAGCGTTTCTCTACTGTGGGCACTAGCAGCTAATGAGCGTGCTTTATGTGGGAGGGAGAGATGGCCTAGAAGCTAAAAACATGTGTTGCTCTTCTGGGAGAGTGGAGTTTGGTTTTCAGCACCTGTGTCTAGTATCTCACAACCTTGTGTGACTTACAGAGTACTCAGATGCCTCTGTCACATGATTCTTTAAAAATTATTTTTTGCAGTTATCCTCTGCCTCTCCCTCCTTCCTTCTCCTGGAAACTTTAGTTCACACCTCAAATCAATGACTTACAACATACACACCCAGAAGTCAACTAGGGAGGTCGAGGCAGCCAGAGGCAGTTGCTGGTTGACCTTTCTTTCCATGGATGGGATTCCAGCTTCTTCTTCCCTCCACAGTCATTTTTACATCAGGGGATAAACAATAGTAACCTCTGTGGGAAATGATTTACCTCTGGCTGTTCTCAAAGAAGGACACAATATCTTCTAATATCTGTTTCCTTTCTCCCTGTTCCAGAATTCTTCGTCCTGGGACCAGCCTGACCCAGGCAGAGAGGTTTTTGGTTTTGAGACAGGGTTTCACTGTGTAGCCCAGGCTGTCCTGGAACTCACTCTGTAGACCAGGCTGGCCTTGAACTCAGAGATCCACCTGTCTCTGCCTTTCCAGTGTGAATGTCAGAAAACAGCTTGTGGGAATCGGTTCTCTCTTTTAACCATGTGGGTCCCAGGGATCAAACTCAGGTTGTCAGAACTGGCAGCAGGTGCCCTCAGCAGCCATGTCATCCCACCAGCCACGGGTTGGAAGTTTGGGAAAATCCTTCTTTTTTTTTCTTGGTTTTTAGAGACAGGGTCTCATTATGCACGTCTGGATGTCCTGGAACTCACTCTATAGACCAGGCTGGCCTCAACCTCACAAAGATCTGACTGCCTCTGCCTCCTGAGTGCTGGGATGGGGGGTGTGTGCCACCACTGCCTGGCTTGGGAAAATACTTTTAAATAAACATTCTGAGCCAGGACAAAAGAGATTCCTTGCTTCTAGAGTATACTTTCATCAAGCTGAAATAGAACGCAGCAATCTTCCAATATATCACATAGGTGTTCAGCTTAAGTCCACCCCAGTGTGGGAAGGTTAGACTGTACTAATTGCCCTGGGCCAGTCCTGGAGCTGGAAGTGGCCTGAGTCCCACCGTGGCCTGGCTACTTGTCATGGAGCTGTGTTTGGGGGATAGCAGTCAACATGATCCATGACGTGTTAAAATGTCATTGGTGTTCCAAGACCCCTAAAGAAGGCAACAAATGACAGTTGCTCTCAGGTGTCACGGCACGTTTTCTGTTTAAAATGATAGGGAAAGGAGAGCTAGAGAGATGGTTTGGCAGTTAAGAGTACCTACTGCTGTTGCAGAGGACCTGAGTTGAGTTCTCAGCATCTCAGACAGTTCATGCCTGCCTTAACTCTAGCTCTAGAGGATATAATGCCTCTGACCTCCATGGCTGGCTATACCTACCTACCTACTTATCCACCTCCACCCCCCACATACACACACACACTTTAAAACAAATGTAAAATGAGCTCTTAATTGGTCTAGATAATAAAAGGCCAGAGTCAGATATAGAAGGAAATGCTGAGAGATCAGAGAGAAGGAGCAAGCCACAGCTACACCTTACCTCCTAAGCGTCTCAGCAGAAAAGAGAAGTTCCTGTTTCTCCCTGCTTATATCCTGTTTCTGCCTGCCTACATCATTTCCTGTCTGTACAGACCTCCAGACCTCTATGATAGTGGCAAACTCCATTTTCTGACCCCCAGACAGGCTTTATTTGTGCAAGAAAGATATCACCACAAACAAATCCTTAAAAAATATAATACTTGTGTCAGGGACTAAGGTCTGGCTTGGTTGCTAAGAGGCTTGTCTGATAATTCATGAAGTCCTGGAATGATCCCTACTTACCACATAAACCAGGTACGGCGGCACACACCTATAACCCCAGTACTAGAGAGGTGGAGGCAGGAAGGTCAGAAATTTCAAGTCATCTTCTGCTATATAGAAAGTTTGAAGCCAGCCTGGGATACATGAGACCTATCTCAAAACAGAAACAAAATAAAATGAGGTGTGCTGCTGTGCCTACCACTAAAAGCCTCCAAAACAAGAAAGGACACTGGGTACCAAAGATGTTTTATTGCATCATTGCCTTTCACAATCAACAGTCAAAAAACAAATTATAATAACAAAAGTACCTTTCAAGAGGACCAGACATCAGACAGACACAGGGGCACAATTAACATTTAAAAAGACTGCTGGGTGTTTTTGTCGTGTGTGTGTGTGTGTGTGTGTGTGTGTGTGTGTGTGTGTGTGTGTGTGTACACAAGGTTGGTGGGCTCTGCTAAGCTTCCATCATGGAGCAGGTGAGGCCCAGTGAAGCACCCATGGAATGTACATCATAGAGTGAACACTGGGACCCTTTGGCACAGCTCCAGGCAGAAGGCCTGTGCTGTCACGGGGACTTCACACTGACTTCCTGCTTTTATGACTTTCCCAGGATCTGTGTCTTGGGGAGGGCAGCCTCTGAGAAATGCCGATGTGCTGCCTGAGGAGGGACATCTAGGGAACAGCATGACCTCCTAGGTCTCCCTCTACCTCCTATGCTCTTGGTTTTCCTCTTGCTTCTCCTCCCAATGAACATCTGAAAGACTTGAATGTCCCCATGGAGGACAGAGCTAGGCCACGCTTTCAGTTTCTCATCAGAAGGTTCCTGGATTCCTGTAGTCCTCCTGAGAAAGCTGGGAGATGCCTCTGTGCTCTGCCTGTCTTCTTGGAGGGAGGCCCTATCACAAGCCACTAGCTGTTTGCTGGTGGCCAGAGACCAGAGCCCAGGAGCCCACTGCCCAGAAATGAGTCATGCTCTAGATTGGAAATGCTGTTGGCCCACCAGGAAAGAAAAGCACTACACCAATCACCGACTTAGCATTTTGTACTAACTGGAGAAAATCAACACATACAAGGCTTATGGTGTCTAGGCATTTAATGTTATAGGTGTCCTCAGCAAGCGGCATTCTTCACACAGGTCCACACTCAGAGGGATTGACAGATGTGGTGGAGAGAACCCTGAAGGTCAGGCCTTTGTCTCTGCCCACTTTCCTTGCTCTCTAAACACTCAAGATCACAGCTTCTGGAGGTGGGGATAGGGAGGGCTTCATATTCTTGTCATTCTATACAGGAGGAGAAAGAGACAGCAATGCGGCTTAGAAAAGATATCCAAACTGCAACAAGAGAAAATGGAGTTTTGTCAATTATTACCACCTTTGTCTTCTCCAGCTTTCTCTCTATTCCCTCTCTTGTCTTTGGGATGTTTGTTTGTTTGTTTTGATGCAGGGTCTATGAAACCTAGCTTGAGGTGGTGGTTTGGATGAGGATGGCTCCCGTAGACTCACATGTTTTAATACTTGTCCCCAGTTGGTAGAACTGTTTGGGAAGGGTTAGGAGGTGTGGCTCTGATGGAGGAGGGGTGTTATTAGAGACAGGCTTTGGAAGTTTCAAGAGCCCATTCCCAGTTAGCTCTCTGCCTGCTAAGGATATGGACTGTCTCGCTCCAGTGCCGTGCCTGCCTGCCTGCCTGCCTGCCTACTGCATGCTCTCCACCATGATGGCCATATGCTCACCCGCTCACCCTCTGAAACTGTAAGCCTCCAGTAAACTGTTTCTTCTACAAGTAGTCTTGGCCATGGCGTCTCATCATGGCAATGGAGGTACTAAGACACTTGACTTCAGATGTGTGGTCCTCATGTGTATACTCCCAAATGCTGGGATAGAGGTATGTACACCACTCTCAGCATGTTGGGGTACAGGTGTGTGCGCCATTCCCAGCATGCTAGGTTTTGCTGCTCTTGGTATTTTCCATTACATTTGTTTGGTTTTTATGTGCTAGGGTCTTGATATGTATCCCCCATTGGGCTAGCCTGGAACTCACATGTAGTCCAGGCTAGCCTGAATTTTACAGAGATCTGCCTGCCTCTACTTCTGAATGCTAGTATTAAAGGCATATGCCACCATGTCCAGCCCGTTTTTTGCTTTGTTGTTCTTTTCAGTGTTTGAGTTTGTTTTTTTTAAAGCCATATCTCAAGACTCTTTTCTTTATCTTTTAGATTTGATTCATTCATTTTGTGTGTGTGTATGTGTTCATGTACGTGTCTGTGTTGTGTGTAATGTATGTGTGGAGGTCAAGCTCTTATGGAAGACTGGGGATCTGAACTCAGGTCCTCTTGCTCGTTCAACAGGTACTTTACTGACTGAGCCATTTTTCTGGCTTCCTTTAATTTTTTTCTTTATTTTATTTTATTTTTGTTGTGGTGGTGGTTTTATTTTGAGACAGGGTTCCTCTTTGTAGCCCTGGCTGTCCTGGAACTCATTACATAGACCAGGCTGGCCTTCAACTCACAGAGATCCACCTGCCTCTGCCTCCCAAGTAGATTCTTTTTCTTTTTAACAAATCCTATCCATATGCTCTTTTCTCCCCACCTCTCTCCTGTCTCCTTTCTTCTCTGCATTCTCTGCACTACAGTCCTTGTCCTTTGTCACTCACCTGTCACCAGCCCCCCCAGCTTCAGAAATCCTCCCTAGGGAAACAAAGTATCTATAGCCAAACTTTTTTTCTCTTTATGTATGTATACTAAAACAAAATGTAAAAACATACACATTTTATTACATGTGCATGGGTGTTTTGCCTGCATGTATGTATGTGCACGATGCATGCCTGGTGCCCGTGAAGGCCAGAAGAGCACATTGGATCCCCTGGGACTGCAGTTATAGACAGTTGTGAGCTACCATGTGGGTACTGGGACTCAAACCTGGGTCCTCTAGAAGAGCAGCTGCACTTTTAACTGCCATGCAGTCTCTCCAGCCCTGGCCCTAGGTTTAGAAATAACTGTGCTGCCTTGAGATGCGGGAAGAAGAGAGCTGCTTTCATGCCTTTGATTGACAAGACTCCCACAGACTCACCCTGCAGCCACCGTCCTTCCCATGTCTGACCTAGATGTCAGTTCTTTACAGCCTGGGCGCTACTGTCATAGCCATGGAAGGGGACATGTCACTTAATTTTTCTTTATCTTTACTTTTGGTATTATAAATTGAATATAGGGCCTCATAATCTCTTGCTGAGCCTCTTTTTAATTACTATTTAGTAATGCAAAGTAGTGCATTTCAAAATGTATTTTGTTCTTTTTGGGGAGAGTGGTTCCTAGACAATGTTTCTCTATATAACAGTTCTGACTGTCCTGGAACTCACTCTGTAGACCAGGCTGGCCTGGAACTCACAGAGATCTACCTGCCTCTGTCTCCTGAGTGCTGGGATTAAAGCCTTAACTTCCTGACTGTGAACTCCTTCTGTAGCTCAGGCAGGTACTGAACTTGCTGTCTTTTTATATCAGCCTCCTGAGTAGCTATCATGATTGGCCCTGGCTAGAGGTGGATAATTTACTTATTTGTCTATTGATTACATGTATATGTAATGCAAAATTACATATAAATTTATATATGTAAGAGGATATGCATTATATTACATATAGATATATCACACACATATTATATGTAAATATATGTAAGGGGGATAATATAATATTACATATATATGTAAGGGGTACAAATATATATGGAGGGGGATACACATGCCGCAGTGTTCATGTGGAGGCCAGAGAAACGTTTGTTCTCTCCTTCCAGCATGTGAGTTCTGAGATAGAGCTCAGGTCACAGGACTCAGAGGCAAGTGCCTTTACTGACTGGGCCAGCTCACCAGCGGGAAGTGGGTAAGTTAGAGACACTCAGGACTATAAAACTGAATCTGCTGTTTTAGAAAAGAGAAACTCAGAGATAGAACTGAGGCCATGTAGATGACCATGAGTGCTAGGGACCAAGTGAAGCTGTGGTAATGGCTGGGACCTCTTTGCTTCAGCTTCATGTATTTATATATTTGTTTATTTTTTATGTGCATGAGTGCTTTGCTTGCATTTATGTATGTGCTTGCCTGCAACGTGTAGAGGTCGAAGAAGTCACTTGACCCCCTGGAACTAGAGTTGGGGATGGTTGTGCATCAGCATGTGGGTGCTGGGACCCGAGCCCAGGTCCTCCGCAAGTGCCACCTCTCCAGCCCTGCTTCAGCTTTCCCTTGCTGGGCACTCCATTCTGGAAAGTCAGAGGCTGCACTCACCTAGTAGTCAGGGCGAGACATGCTTCGCTGGTTTACATAGGGATTTTGGGTCTGACTGGGGACCCCTGTCCTGACTTTGGGGAAGATGCTGTTGTCTCCTCCAAAGTTGCTGAAGCCAGTGTTGCTGAAGCCAGAGTTGCTGAAGCCGGAGTTGCTGAAGCCAGCTTGTTGCATTCGTATATTCCGAGAGTCGTCCTCAATCAACTTCTGTTCCTCCACATTCTTCTTTTTCTTCTTTGAGCTATAATCAGTAAAGTGAATTAGGACCTAAGGATGGCAGCAACATTTCTTGAAGGAATTTTTTTTCTGTGTCCCCAACTGTCTTGGAACTCACTATATAGACCAAGCTGAGCTTGAATTCACAGAGATCTGCCTGCCTGTGCCTCACAAGTGTTGGGATGAAAGCGTGTGCCACCATACCCAGGCCCACATTAGCAACATTAGCATGCTTTTCAAATGATTAACAGAAGTGAAAGAGAAACCATGTCGTATGACACCAACAGAATAAATGTCTACAGAAACATTGGGTGAGGTGAACTCAGCATTCCAAGGTCTTAGGACAGGAAGAAGGAGCCCAAGGAGAGGGCTCTGCTGTCAAAGTACTTGCCACAGAAGTGTGAGGATCTCAGTTGGGATCCCTAGAGCCTATGCAAATGTCAGGTGGGCATGGAGGCTTGCCTGTCATTCTAGTACTTGGAAGGAGGGGACCCAGGAAAGAGACCTGTGGAGTAAGCAAGCTAGCCTCAGCACCCATATCTGTGAGCTCTGGTGCAGCTGAGAGACCCTGCCTCAGCTAGCAGAGGAGCCCATGGCAGAGGAAGCCTCCTGACAGCAGCCTTGGGCCTACACACTATATATGTGTTTACATAACTAGATATAAACCACACAAGGAGAAAAGGAAATAGGGTTTGGCAGGATGATAGGGCTGGTTGGGGGCACTTCAAGTGTCTCTAGTGTGGGAATTCTAAGCCAAGTGTAAGCATTTGTACTTGTAGAGGCATGTTCCCATCTCACTGAGATTATACACCTGCTTGTTTTCCTGCCCATGGCCACAGCCCCACTCCCCAGACCGAGAGAGTAGGGACAGCTGTATCTATGATGCAGGTCACTCCTGTGCTTCAGTCACATCGGGAAAGTCGTTCACCCAGTGCCTTAGATAGCTACTTAGTTTACACTGGGGATCCTGCTTTTGACAGTCTCTCCTCTAGAGCAGCAAAGGCTCCCTCCTTCCCTAGGGACTGCTCACAGAGGCAAAGGTTTCATGCTCTGTTACAAGAACCCTGACTCTGTGGTTGGGCTCTTCAGCAGGATGGAGAAACTTTGATACAAAACTGTGGAAAGGCTGAACAATTCTATAGGAACTCTCATCCCTGAAGGGCCAGAAGGGCCAGAACAGTCAACCAGCTACCTTAAGAAAAGAGGACATAGACTTGCTCCAAAACCAGGAATGTTCTGCCTCTCTTCCTAGAAGTGAGAAACTAGATATTGTGGGGAATGCCCACGTGGCTCATACTACTTTTGCTCTGAGAAGGGTTAACATCAAAATGGAAAAAGAACCAACAACAATAGACTAAGAACCAAATATCTCAGGTAGTGGTAGTGCACGGCTTTAATCTTAGCACTCGGGAGACAGAGGCAGGTGGATCTCTGTGAGTTCAAGACCAACCTGGTCTATAAGAGTGAGTTCCAGGACAGCAGGGACACACAAAGAAACCCTGTCTTGAAAAACAAAACAAAACAAAAAGAACCGAATTATCAGTCCATCCTCTACAGTTATAGTGGGAAAAGGCCAGAATATGTTACCAGAACATAAGACCTGAGGTAAATGTTAGGAGAAGAGTAGCTGCTTTTCACAATGTGGATCCCACTGGGCACATGGAGAGGAGAAGAGGGCCACAGCATCCTTCTGGCTACTGGAAGAGTTGCAGCATTGCTAAATATTGCTGAATGACTTAGACTTTATTTCCCTTTCCTTAAGAGACTGAAGGCACCAAGCTAAGAAAGAGCCACAGAGATGGCCTTATTACTTTAAAACCCAGGGTTTCTATAGAGGTTGCTTTGGGACCCTGTTGAGGTTGCTTGTGTGTCATTCAGCAGAGTCCGAGGCAGGGGAGTGGCTTGGTGTGGGGACACCAGACCTTGAACAGAGACCCACTTCCCCTTCAGCCTGGGAGCAGGCAGCTGTGAGATAATGTTTACTGAAAACAATTCAGTGCTATAAAGTTCTTGATAGGGCTCAGATAAGTGCTCGCTCACTGAAACACCATGACTTTTACACCCCCTATGGCTAGATGCTTCTTCCTGTTCCCCCTGCTCTTTCTCCCCTGCTATGGGGCCAGAGATTAAACCACCAGCCAGGAGGGTGAGAAGTCTGGGAGAGCTGTTGGAGAATTGTATGTAGATGGATGGCAGAAGTCCTTAAAAAGGGAAGCGGGGTTTTTTTTCTTGGAGAGACTTCTCCTAAGCCAACTTGGGGAGCATAAAGTTTTCTTAAAAGCAACCGACCGGTCTCTGTGTCATCTATCCTGACCACCTCGCTACATTCTCGCAGGCTGCACAGCAGGTGCGACAGTTTGGGGGAAGTTATATTTGACAACATCAATGGAATTAAATAGATGTTTGTTTTGAGACTGTTTCATAAAGCCCAGGCTGGCCTGAAACTCTTTATGTAACCAAGGATGACCTGGAACTTCTTTTTTTTTTTTTAAAGATTTATTTATTACATATACAGTGTTCTGCCTACATGCCAGAAGAGAGCACCAGATTAAATTGTAGATGGTTGTGAGCCACCATGTGGTTGCTGGGAATTGAACTCATGACCTCTGGAAGAGCAGTCAGTGCTCTTAACCTCTGAGCCATCTCTCCAGCCCCCGACCTGGAACTTCTGAGCTTCCTGCCTCTACCACCTGAGCTGGGATGACAAGGAGACACCACCACATCTGGTTTGTGCTATGCTTGAGATCAAATCCTGGTCTTCAGACAGGCTATGCAAGCACTCTATCAACCGAGCCCCAGCCCCAGCCCCAGCGCCAGCTCTGGATTTTGTTTTGATGAGGTAGGGTCTCATGTCATTGACACTGGCCTCAAACTTGCTATGTAGTTGAGGCTGGCCCTAAACTCTTAATTCTCCTGACTCCACTTTCCAAGTCCTGAGTATAGGTGTGTACAGCCATGCATAACTGAGTTAAATGGTGCTAATGGAAAGTTGTTTTTCTGTTGTTTGAGACAGGGTCTCTCCATGTAGCCCTAGCTGGTCTCAAACTCACAGAGATCCGTCCATCTGCCTCGTTCCCAAGTGCTGGAATTAAAGGGGGTTGCTACCACACCTGGCCCTGGTGAAGAGTTATTAATGCCATAGAAAACTGATTGTTGAGCTTGATTAGTGTGAAGCAAAAAATAAAACTGAACAAAAATTTAAAGCATAAAGGATATAGAACCATGTATATAATATTACTTAAAAAGGTAAAATTGAGCCCGGGTTGGTGGTGCACACCTTTAATCCCAGCACTTGGGAGGCAGGAGCAGGCGGATCTTTGTCAGTTCGAGGTCAGCCTAGTCTACAGAGAGAGTTCCAGGACAGCCTCCAAAACAATACAGAGACACCCTGTCTCAAAAAACAAACAAACAAAAAAGGTAAAATTGAGTACTAGAGTGATGTTCAATGGTTAAGAACACATACTGCTCTTGGAGAGGACCCAAGTACAGGTCCCAGCTCCCAGGTTGGGTGACTCACAACTGTCTATAACTCCAGCTCTAAGGGATCTGATATTCCCTTCTGGATCCCCTGAGCACTTGTACTCACAAGCACTTATACAAACATACATAAATGTATACATAAAGTGTTTATACACACATAAAAATAATAAACATAAATCCTTTAAAAAGAAAGAAAAGAAAATAAAAAATCCAGTTGTAGGGGAGAGGCCTCCCTTGTTTCCTCCTCCTCACCCGTGAGAGTCTTTTGGAAAGCAGCTTAAATAGCAGTATCTATCTATCCCATACCTCACTGAGACGATAAGAGCAATTAGCAAGATGAGAACAAGGGCTCCGGCAATGGTGCCCACGATGGTGAGGATCAGCTGGAATTCTGAAAGGGAAAAGACAAGAGCAGTGTCCTGATTAGTTTTAACTGTCAACTTGGCACAAACTAACCTGGGAAGAGAGTCTTAATGAGGCATTATCTAATTGGATTAGCCTATGTGGTATGTCTGGGGCAGGCGTTGTCTTGACTATTAATTGCTATGGGAAGACCTAGTCCACTGTGGGAAGAACCATCCCCTAGGCAGGGGGTCCTGCACAGTAAGAAAGTAGAAAGCTGGCTGGGAGCAAGAGAGCAGCAAGCAAGGGTCCATTGTTCATGCTGTATTTGTTCTTGAATGCAATGCTTTGAGTTCCTGCTCCCTCCCCCTCCCCACCAATTGGGTCCTGCTGTCTACTGCACAGTGTGAATTCCAGCAGTTCCTGTCTCCCAGCCTTGTAGAGAAGCACACAGGGCAGGTGCCCATCTCTGTTGCCACCCTCTCCTTGTCCTCATGCCCTAACCATTAGGTTGTCTGTAGCACACAGTCATTACATACAGCTTTCCAGCTATAAAACCACAAATACCAAAGAGGCTGATGGCGGCAAGATCTTCTTGGGGTGGAAGACCTCACTGAGGTCTACACTCCTTCTCCATCTCTCCTGCCACTGCCTGCCCTCCATAGTTCTCCCTTTCCATAAGCCAGGGGATCTGGATGGGGATTAAACATGTCACTAGCAGAGGAGGCAGGTAACCGCTTATGAGTCTGTTAAAACCTACACTCTTCCACCTCAGACTAGAGCTATAGTGCTTTTGTTATATAGCCCAGGATGGGCTTAAACTCACAGCGGTCCTCCTGTCCCAGGATCCCTAGTACTTTCATTACAGACATTCAATACTATGCCTGGCTGCTATGGGATGTGATCATAAGAATAGCCTGTGAACATAACATACACACCAGTTCCAAACACTTAACTTGGAAAACTCATTAATGGCAGGCAGTGGTAGTGCACACCTTTAATCACAGCACTCTGGAGGCAGAGACAAAGGGATCTCTCTGAGAGTTTGAGGCCAGCCTGGTCTACAGAGTAAGTTCCAGGATGGCCAGGGATGTTATACAGATAAACCCTGTCTCAATAAAACAAAACAAAACAATCCCCAAAATTGAATATAATTGCTGAGGATGTCCTTCTCTGGTCTGGAGTGGGTCCAGAGGGACCAGCTCACCCCCAAGTCTGAGTTCTGTTATTTCTAACAGCAGAACTCTTGCTGCCCATCACCTAAGTGATGCGGGACCCAGCAGACAAGCTCCAAGCCGAGTTTCTCTCTCAGTGAATGAAGGAAGACTGTGGTGGAGTGGGCAGGACCCTGGATGTAGTCCACGTGTGTTTCCTGGATGTTTAGTAACTTAGGGTGTCTATACTCACTGTCGTTGCAATCCACGCCACTATAGCCGAACGGACACCTGGAATACAGTCACACCAGGAAGTCACATTAGAGACTTTTGGGGGGAGTGAGCTGGAGTTCCCACCCTGATGTCCATTTTTTCCTTCCCATCTGTCTTTCATTCTGTCCTCCCTTGCTCTTTCTGTTATCTTTGTGCTATCATATTTCCAAGAGTGTATTCCATGGGGTTCTGCTATGGTGAAATGTACTCAATCCAATGTGGCTTCATTTGTCACAGACTGAACATAGCTTCCTCTGAACTCCAGGAGGGCTTGGTAATTCAGGTGAAGCCAAAACCAAGAGGCATAGAGCAGTGTGTACTCTCTCAAGGGGCAACTGGTGAACAAGGGGATATTACTCATATTTCGTTTTGTTTCCTCATCTCATAGCGGGCACCTGACACATTCCTAGATGTTGTATGACAGGTCCTACCTACTGTGGTTCCTAGAGATACAGGATGCTCCAAAACTCTTGGATGATAATGGCACAGTGATGTGCTACCCTGCCAACCCATGCCAACTTTCTGATACTAAGTCTTCATGTGTGCTTCACACTCTAGCCTGGCTGTGCTGTGACAAGATAAAGATGGAGTGGTTTCTTACTCTTCGCACTTCCCACTAGTACTATTCTGGTAGCCTGGCATGCACACACACTTCGGTTCTTCGTTATCCTTCTTTATGCATTGCTTCCTTTCCTGTGCACTGCAGGGCCCAGCACACTCCCCAGCTATAAAATAAAGTGATTTCAAGGTCATGATCAGAAACAGTATCTTAAAAAAAGTGAGAGAGAGAGAGAGAGAGAGAGAGAGAGAGAGAGAGAGAGAGAGAGAGAGAGAGAGAGAGAGAGAGAGAGAGAGAGAGAGAGAGCATATTCCACAGCACATGGGTGAAGTCACGGGACAAGTTTATGGGCAGATCAGTTCTCTCTGTCCACCTTTACCTGGGTTTGGGGAATAAACTCCAGCTTGCTCAGCAAGTGCCTTTGCTGGTTGAGTCATCTCACCAGCCCAGAGATGACCTCTTCAACCCCAAGATGACATGAGACAGCATACAATTTTGTACATTGGTTTTTCTAAGTAAAGTAAAAATGTGCCTCTTGTGAAGCTGTCCTGGGCAGTTATGTATGTATTTTGGAAATACAAGAAGTCAGGTGGTGGTGGCTTATATCTTTAATCCCAGAACTTGGGAAGCAGGGACAGACAGACCTCTGAATTTGAGGCCAGCCTGATCTACAGAGGAAGTTCTAGGACAGCCAGGGCTACACAGAAAACCCTTGTTCTGAAACCCCACCCCCAAAAGAAAATGCTAGAGGAGAGAAAGTGAGAGTTGTGAAGGCTGTTTGGGAGCAGTTGGGACACTTACAAGAAACACAATAAGGAGTCACTTTGTTAGGCCTTATCATTCCAGGTTTGCACTGGCATTGGAGACCATTCTGACAGTCGTCTTTGCCATTCTTTACACAGTTGTAAAGGTCACACACATCTTGTTCTGTAAGAGGTATAAATAGTTAAAAAAACACACACATTGAGCAAGGCCATATGATTCATGAAGGCATTTCCCTCCCTCCCTCTCACACTCTACTCTTCATCTAATATCATTTGATTGTTGATGGGTCCAAGTTCTTCCACCTGTGAAATGGTGGTAATGATTCTTGTTCACATGGTTGCTGTGAGAATAGAGTGAGCTAATGTAAATGACAGTGTCCACAATAGGAGCCTCAATAAGCCTGCATTGTTTTGTTCATCTGTAGCTACAGCGACATTTAAATTTTGGTCTAAGGACAGTAAGTTTTTTTTTAAGGCTTTTGTTTGTTTTAGTTTTTTAAGACAGGGTTTCTCTGTGTAGCTCTGGCTGTCCTGGAACTCACTCTGTAGACCAGGCTGGCCTTGAACTAAAGAGATCTGCCTGCCTCTGCCTCCTGAGTGCTGGAATTAAAGGCAAATGTCACTATGCCCAACTTTTGACACTAAGTTTAAAAAGTTTTAAATTTTAGTGTGTGTGTGTGTGTGTGTGTGTGTGTGTGTGTGTGTGTTATGCCATGTGTGCAGGTTCCCACCGAGATCAAGGGTGTCAGATTCTCTGGAGCTGGAGTTAAAGGTATTTGTTAGACTCCTGACAAAGTTGCTGGGATACAACCTCCAGTTCAGTTTTCATGATTAAACAGTAAGTGTTATTAACCACTGACCATCTCTCCAGCCCCTGACTCTTGTTCCCTAAGCCAGAGAATCCTCTGGAAGACTCTAAGCAGGAATGTACCATGAGAGAACAGCCTTCCAAGAACGCTAACTGGAATGCGAGCGTTGGGCGAGAGGATGAGCGAGAGAGTGGAGTGGGGCAGAGGATGGAAGGAGCTGGAGACGCGATGTTGCTCCTCTCTAACAAAGAGCCTGAGATGCAACAAACCCTGCAGCTTGAAAACACCTCTGTCCTAGTTCAGGTCACCATTGCTGTGAAAGACCAGAGAGCAAGGTGGGAGAAAGGGTTTGTTCAGCTCACACTTCCACATCACTGTTCATCATCAAAGGAAGTCAGGGCAGGAACTCGAGCAGGGCAGGAGCCTGGAGGCAGGAGCTGATGCAGAGGCTATGGAGGGCTGCTGCTTACTGTCTTGCTCCCCATTGCTGTGCAGCCTGCTTTCTTATAGAACCCAGCACCACCAGCCCAGGGGTGGCAGCACCCACAATGGCTGGGCCCTCCCCATCAATCACTGATTAAGAAAATGTTCTACGGGCTTGCCTACAGCCAGATCTAATGGAGGTATTTTCTCAACTGAGGCTCCCTCTTCTCTGATGACTCTAGCCTGTGTATAAACTATCCAGTATAACCTCCAACCCAAATCTAGAGAAAAAGAAGGCTGAGAAGAGAATATATTTTGTGATCAGACCTGAAGAGCAAGAAAACTGAGGCATTGGCTTCTATCTGGGGCAGAGTGCTCTGAGGCTATCTCCAGATGCCAGCTTGTGGTTCTTTGTAATCTATTTAAGAGTGCACAACTGGTTTCAGGGTAGAGGGAGATGTTCAGAGAGTGTAAGAATGAGAAAACTGCAGCTGGGAGGATCCCGGAGATTATCCTGAGAAATGCACAAGTTGTTCTTAGCTGCTGATCACCTGTGCTCAGTGCCCATGCTGAGGGGAATTCTCAACTTCTTCATGTGTGGGCTAAGTCCTATCTAGCCCCAGACAGTACAAGGACCAGGGCACAGAAGCTATGGCATATGAACTTCGATTCTAAACAAAATTCTGTGCCCAAGAATAAACAAATCAGTGGGTAGCTGTAGTATAGGTAGGTAGAAACTAATTGGTGGGTAGCTGTGATGGCGCTTTAAGAGAACTTTTCCAGAAAGCATTTATGTTCTAGGCCCTAACATGTTGACAAGAATCTTTGTAAAACCCCAACAAAAGAGAAAAGTGTAGGGAAGCTCTAAGAGAACATGTTTATTTATGTCGTGAAAAACAGATATTAGGGGTTGGGGAGATGGCTCAGTCAATAAAGTGCTTGCTGTGAAAGTATGAGGACCTGAAATCAGTCCTGAGCACCCACATGAAAAAGCCAGACATGGTGGTGCCCACTTAAAAAAAAAGCCAGGCATGGTGCCTACCTGAACCTAGAGACTGGGGTTCAAACTTCAAGATAAATATCAGAGAAGCAAAGCAGCCAAGCCTCTACCTCAGACAGAATTAGTAGTCCTGTCTCCACCAAGCCTCAGACTGCCTCTCCTCAATGTGGCTGGAGAGAAATCCTCTAAGCCTGACTTTGCTTCTTTTTAAACCTCTCAAATCCTGGGATTAAAGGTGTGTACCACCATAGCCTAACTTCTATAGCTAACCAGTATGGCTGCTGGTTTTAAAGGTGTGTATCACCATTGACTGGCTCTGTGGCTTATGGCTAGCTTTGCTTTCTGTATCCTCAGGCAAGCCTTAATAAATCATAAACAATGTATCACCACAATTCCCCTTTTTTGTATAATAAAAAACCCAGCATACATATGGAAGTCAGAGGACAGGTATTGGGGTTCAACCTGAGGGTCAGATAAGCAAAGCAGCTGACCACTAGGTCTTACCCCTACTCAGACCAAAACAGGTGGTCCTATCTCCATGAGCTCTCCACCAATCCTCAGATTGTTGCCTCTCCTCAATGTGGCTGCAGACAAAATCTCTCATGAGACCCTTTGCTTCTTCTTTTTATACCTCTCAAATTCTGGGATTAAAGGCATGTAATCCCAGCTGCTGAGATCTCCTTTGTGTGAGCTCTGTTTCTCTTTTAGACTGCATGAATTTTGTGTAGCTCAGTGTGGCTTTGAACTAACAGAGATCTGTCTACCTGATTTCTGAGTCCTGGGATTAAAGGTGTGTGCCACCACTGCCTGGCTCTATGGCTTGTGCCTAGCTTTGCTTTCTGTACCCTCAGGCAAGCTTTAATAAATCATAAATAAGATATCACCACAATAAAGTGCTTGCTATGCAAGCCTGAGGACCTGAGTTCAACATATAAAAAAGCCAGGTGTGGTGGTTCCTACTTGCAAAAAAATAAAGATCAAAAACCCAGGCGTGGTGGTGCTCATTTGTTTAAAAAAAAAGCAGGCATGGTTGTGCCCACTTGTAATTCTAGCTCTGGAGAAGTGGGTCTTTGGGGGACTCACTGGCCAGCCAGCCTAACCTAATCAGTGAGTTCAAAAATAAGTGCAACCCCATCTTTAAAAAGGTAGATTTCTGGTGGACCACCTAACTAGCATCCCTGAGGTCCTAGGTTTAATCCCCAGCACTAGGGGGATGGCCAGAACTCAGTGAATGGCTCCTGAGGGACAATATCTGGGTTGACTTCTAGACAGCTCCCCACTCTCTCTTTCTTACACACACACACACACACACACACACACACACACACACACACACACACAGAGAGAGAGAGAGAGAGAGAGAGAGAGAGAGAGAGAGAGAGAGAGAGAGATTAGTTTTACCAACTAGGTCAGAGAGGTTCTAATTAATAAAAAGCAAAAATATGGGGCTGGAGAGATGGTTCAGCAGGTAAGAGCACTTGATGCTCTTCCAAAGGACTGGACTTCAGTTCTCAGCACCCACATCAGGCAGCTGTTACTCCAGCTCCAAGGGATCAGACACCTCTGGCATTCATGTGCACATTACACATATAATTAAAAATGGTTAAATAATTAACTAAATAAAATCTTTTAAAAAAGGAAATTTGGAGCTGGTTGGTGATGGGGGCATATATTTAATCCCAGCAGAGGCAGGAGGATCTCTGAGTTCCAGGTCAACCTGGTCTACAGAGTGAGTTCCAGGACAGCCAGGACTGTTACACAGAGCAACCTTGTCTCAAGAGTGGGTAGGGAGTTGGAGACAGCAATACATCTCTTGACTTGCCCTCTTCTCACATACAACGGAAAACTTAACAGAAAGTTAAATCTTTAGGCAACCTTTAAGTAAAATTATTTAGTACTTACTAGCATACTTCACCATCACATTTCCGTCTTTCTTAATTTGCTCTTCAATTGCAGCAGTTATAGTACTTTCATTTTGAGCTGTGTTTTCATCAAACATATTTATTACTGATGCATAGACAAGCTTTTCAGCAGCACGTATTGCAGACCTTGCTGACAGAGAAGAGGAGGCACTAAAAACGAAATAAAGATGTTCATGATGAACCGAAGAGTCAACTAACACATAGTATTTGAATTTTCCTGATGCCCAAATCTCTTGAGTTCTTGTCCTAGCTCCACAACTATAGACAACATATGGAGGCCCTGGTAATACAGTGTCAAATTTTCAGCCTGGTGGCTTCATTTGACATGTATTCAGAAAAACTACAATGAAAACAACAGTCCATTGGAAGACACTTGGAGTTCTTAAGCCAGAGATCAATGAGGTATGATCTACAACCAAAGAATCCAACCAAACTAGTTCATATGATGGCCTGGTCTGTGTGAGCAAGATGCTGGGCAACCATCAACAGCCTTCCTTCTCCAGGCCACACTTGCTCACCCTGGCCTGAGTCAGTATGGTATTAGAGTCATCACTGAGGCACACAGTTCCCACTGTAGTGGTCTGACTAGCCACCTCTGTGTGTGTGTGTGTGTGTGTGTGTGTGTGTGTGTGTGTGTCCATGAGTGCTTCAGTACACATATGGAGGTCAGAGCACAACTTTCTAGAATCCTGGAGATCCAATCCAGGTGGCAAGTGCCTTTGCCCATTGAGCCATCTTCCTGGCCCCAAGCACTGTTTCTTCATCTTCCCTTATATAATCTGCAACATTCTGTCCCATGATGTGCTTTATTGGATTATGACCAGGGAGTCAACTGTAACTGCCATGGATGGATAAACCTCTATCCACAGCTCCTTTCTGGGCCCCAGAACTTTATTACCAGTTGCCATTCTGGCAAGAAGCATCCAACAGCTAGTGAAAGCCTTGGCTGACCATCAGTGCTTTCCACAGTGGGTTCCCTTCCAACTACCTCCACTTGCCTTTGCAGATCTTAGCTATGCCAAACCTGCTGAGAAGCCCATGGGCCAGCAACAGACAAGTGTCGAGCCTATAGCTTTCACACGATATTGTGGTAACTCATGAGCACAGGCTGTTAAACCCTTTCCATCAATTATAAACAATCTGAAAGATGCTATCCTTGTCAGCTACATGAGATGTCTCCTGTATTTTGTATGTGTTGTATTTGTTTTTGTCCTGGAACACCAAACATTTCTGAGCATAGCAGCCAGCTTTACCCTCCCTAAATTCTCTTGTTGTACGTTAAAGTACCCTTTATTTTTGGTGGCTTTAGCAAACCCATCCTGCAACACCATGGCTCTATATAGACTTGCAGGCCTGCCATTGAAGGGTAGGGAAAGGCTGCCTTAGAACAGAGTCTCTCTGAACTGGGAGCTCACCAACTTGGCTAGGCTGAATGGCCAATGAGCTCCAGGCATCCACTTGTCTCTACTTCCCAAGCACTGGGGAGGCTCACAAACATGGACCACTGAGTGAGGATTGTTATGTGGGTACTGGAGATCCAGGCTTAGCTCCTTGTGCTTGTGGGCAAGCTCTTTACCAACTGAACCATCTCCCCAACCCTATGGCTACTTCTTCTCGACTTGTGACTTAACACAGGATGGCTCATGACATAGGAGCTCAAGAGAAGAGCAGAAGTGAAGCAAAGACATGCTGCCTCCAAAGCAGCTCACCGGTCCAGAGCACACTTACCTCACTTTAAGAATTACAGTCTGTCCAAAACCAAAACCAGTCTTATCAAGTGCTTTTTTAAACTGTGGAGGAGAATAGAGGCAATAACAAGGTGAAATTTTTAAAAATTATATTCTAGATTTAAACATTGCTTTCCTTCTTTCTTCCCTCTCCCTCCCTCCCTCCCTCCCTCCCCCCTTCCTTCCTTCCTGAGACAGGGTTTCATGTAGCCCAGGTTTCCTCAAACATACTATGTAGTCAAGGATGACCTTAAACTCCTGATCTTTCTTTTGCCTCCACCTCTGAAACGCTGGAATTACTAACTTGTAGCACCACACCCAGATCATACGCTGCTAGAGGTGGAACCCAGGAGCAAGTGCTCTACCAGCTAAGCTGTGTACATATCAGGCAGCTACTCTACTGTTGAGCCCTTTCCTTTTACATTTATATATTTATGTATCCGTTTATTTTGTGGTTCTAGGAATTGAACCCAGGGCCCTGTACATGCTACGCAAGTGTTATACCACCGAGCCATATGCCCAATCAAATTCTTTCTAAAATATATCAGGTGGATCAGGTTGGCCTTGGACTCACTCTTCAGTCCAGGCAAATCTTGAACTTGTGATCCTCCTGCCCAGCCTCCCAAGTAGTTGGAATCACAGGTCTATATTCCTAGTCCCAGCTTATTTACAGAAATAGAAACATTGAGCTTAGTATCCTAGGCACAATGCTCAACAGAGAATCTGGAAATCTCTACATAAAGAGATCTAGCTGGATAGCAAACAGACTCTGGGAGATGTCTCATAGCTTGAGCTGGTACTGGCACACAGGATCTGTTGAGAAGGAGATGGGCTTTGATTTCCTAACTATGCTCCAAAGACTGTCAAGGGGTTCTGAAATATCCCTTTTGGATAAAAAAAATCTCTTTGAAACCAGGCATGGTGTCTCATGCCTATAATCCCAGTATTCAAAAAGCTGAGACAGGAGGATTACTATCATTGGAGGTCATTCCCAGTTATATAATGAGTTCCAGGCCAGTCTGGTAGACAGTGTGAGACCTTGTCTCAAAACACTAAAAGGGCCCTGAGTAAGACTCAGCAGGTCAAAATGATCTCAAATCTGTGTTGAATCCCTAGGACCCACATTAAAGATGGGTGCAGGAGCTTGAGAGACTGTTCAACGGTTAAGAACACTTCTGCTTTTCCAGAGGTCCTGAGTTCAATTCCTAGCAACCACATGGTGGCTCACAACCATCTGTAATGGAATCTGATATGCATGAAGACAGAGCACTCAAATACATAAATACATGAATAAGTAAATCTTAAAAATAAAAGATGGGCTGGGCGTTGGTGGTGCACGCCTTTAATCCCAGCACTTGGGAGGTTGAGACAGGCGGATCTCTGTGAGTTTGAGGCCAGCCTGGTCTACACAGCGAGTTCCAGGACAGCCTCCAAAACAATACAGAGAAACCCTGTCTCAAAAAAAAACAAAACAAAAAATAAATAAATAAAATAAAAGAAGGGTAGATGGATGCAGTGGCACACATCTGTAATCCCAGAATTGTTATTTTTTCTTTGTTTTCAGAGACAGGTTTTCTCTGTGTAACAGTCCTGGCTGTCCTGGAACGTGCTCTGTAGAACAGGCTGGCCTTGAACTCACTGAGATTGGCCAGCCTCTGTCTCCCTAGTGTTGGGCCTAAGGGCATGAGCCACCAACACCAGTGAATCCCAGCATTCTTATGGCCAGATGGGAGGCAGAGAAAGGAGGTGGAGGGCCAGCTAGCCTGGAAAATGAAGTGTGGCGGAAACCATGCCTCAGCAAGGCGGATGGAGAACCAACTCCTGAACGCTGTCCTCTGATACAGACACTCATGCACATACACAAATAATGAAATACTTTTAACAACACAAAACCCTCTCTAAAACCACAAACAAAAACACTCTTTGAAGCCATAAGAATGCTTCACTATCTCCTTGGCTCCTGGGAATACCCAGCCCTGGCTGAGCTCAGGTGTCTAAACCCTGGCTGACTGGATGCTGTGGAGAGTTTCTCAGGCCCAACAACTGGGGCTCCAGAATGGCTTTCCACACTTCACTCCTTCCCTGCCAACACACTCACTCTCAAGAGTAGAAATGAGACGAGCAGTGGTGGCACACAGCTTTAATCCCAGCACTCGGGAGGCAGAGGCAGGAGGATCTCTGTGAGTTTGAGACCAGCCTGGTCTACAAGAGCTAGTTCCAGGACACAGAGAAACTCTGTCTCAAAAAACCAAAAAAAAAAAAAAATAGAAATGAAGTGAAATGTTTTTGTCATGTTTTTGAAAATGGAGGTGGGGGAAAGTATCAGATATAGTTCCTCTATTACAGGTAAAAAAAAAGCCATATTGGTATGGAGATTTATGCAAATCTGAACATAGAAAAAAGGAAAATGTTTTATCACTAAGCTATATTCCCCAGTCCAAAATAATGAATGATTGATTAAGTTGTTATGCTATGGGATAAAACCCTAGGACTTTCTCATGCTAGAAAAGTACTCTACCACTAAGCCATAGCCCCAGCCTGCTCTGAAATAATTTGAGACACCATTAGAGCTCTTGTCTATTCAAAACCCACCAATAGCTTCTATAACAGACAGGCCTGGAGCATCCCAAGGAGGTCTGGCAGGGCTAAACCAGGTGCTCTCTCAGGTGCACAACCCTTCGGAGGCTCAAGAATCCCAAGGGATCTACATGCCTGTCAGGCAGGTACACTTCACTTTGTCAACAACACACACAACTGTGCCTTGTGGTCACGTGAAGACGGGCCCTACCCCCATAGGTCCAGGTGAGACAGAAGATATTCATAGATGGGACAGTGAGAAACACTTACAAATTTGACAAGGTCATTGTAAAGGTCTTGATAGGCCTTAGAGTTTTCATTTTCCAAGTCAGATGAGTCCGGCACTGTCGTGCTGATCTCCCCAGGGAATGTCTTTCCTGAAAATCAGGCAAACCCTTGCTGAGCTATTTAATGTTAATAGGGCCTCTTCAATTTTGTGCTTAAAACATAAGCTACTTTTCTTCTTATTTTTTCTTTTTCTTTTCCTTTTCATTTCCCCCTTTAGACATGGTCTCACTGTGTAGTTCTGGCTACTGGCTGGTCTGCAACCCCATTTGTAGATCAGGCTGGCCTCAAACTCATAGAGAACTGCCTGCTCTGTCTCCCAAGTACTGGGATTTAAGACATGTGACCGTGTCTGCCTTTTTTTTTATTCTTGAACTTCTTGCTCACTATTTAAAACAGAAGGGTTTGGGGGGTATCATAGAGTAGATAGAGTATATCCCCAGAAATTGGGTTATTAGTGTCAAAAATACAAACATTGGGGGATATATCTCTGTTGTGGACAATATAGAGCATGCACTTCGTATGGCACTGACCTACTCTACCAAGAAAAGTCATTTCTTATTCATGAAGCAGAAAAAATAGGAATCATTTAGACAAGTGATTTTTAACCTGTGGTAGGTGACCCCTTTGGGGGATCAAATGACCCTTTCACAGAGGTCTCCTAAGACCATCAGAAAACACAGACATTTACATTACAATTCATAACAGTAACAAAATTACACTTATGAAGTAGCAATGAAAATAGCTTTATGGTTGGGGGTCACAACATGAGGAACTGTATTAAAGGCTGGAAGCATTGGGAAGGCTGAGAATTGCTGGTTTAGATGGGCAGTCTTTGGGCTCCACACACTGGGTGATCTAAGTCAGCTTGTACTGAGGTGTATTCCAAGTCCATTTGTGGAGCTGTGATAGCTCAGCTCAGAGACCAGTCTGCTACCCTCTTCTGCCTCAGTGCCCCAGCGCTGCAATGGTACACTGTGGACAAGGTCTTGTCATCACGTAGTCGTTTTCAGGGGTCTGGCAACACTTGCTCTCACTTTTATATAGTACATTCCAGAGCAGCAGAGGGAAAGTTCTGCCCACACCAGACCTTCAGCCTAACTTGCTTGCAAACCTGCCTTATTCTATCTCTACTCCCCCAGGGTTGGCTGGGACAAAAGCAAGAGACTCTCACCTGGCTCTCCTTGCCTTCGGTTTTTCTTCTGCCCCTTTTATTATCTTTTTGCAATTCCACCAAAGCCCATTTTAGATATGGATACAGGGCTGTGCTGTGGTTATCCCTTGTAGCTTACCTTTCACACACGACAAGTTTTGATAGTAATAGCCTTGTGAACACAAGCAGAAGTGACCGGAATACAGCCTAACACAAGAAGCATATCGTCCACAGGGGTTAGGCTCGCAAGGATTACTGGAACCTTAGATGGAGGAGGAAGAAAGACATTACAAATCCATAGAATTCAGCAAATAACTCCCAGTGACTCATGTCCACTCTTCACACCCTCCTTCTAGACACATTTGTTTTTATTTTGAGACACAGTCTCACTGTGTAGCCTTGGCTGTCCTGGAACTTGCTATGGAGGCTGGCCTTGAATTCACAAAGATCTGCTTGCCTCTGCAACCCTTTTCAGAATAAAGCACCACCACATCTGACCTCCATATCCTTTCTGTATGACAATAAATGCTTAGAAGGGCTGGACACAGTCTGTGTTTGCACCAGTCTCTGGGGAAGACCAAGGCTGCAGTTTCAGAGCTGAGTGGTTAGAGAGTGGCGGACAGAGACCTGCTTGAGAGGAAAGGCAGCTTCCTAATCCTAAGGATTCGAGGATCTTCAGAACTCTTCAGCGCTCAGGACATCAGTGCCTGTTTCTCTGCCACTAAGTAGGGCTCCGCTAACCCTCCTCAGAATAAAGCAGCTTTTTTACAGAGTAGCGTGGCAATCACCACACAGAACAGGACAGTAGAAAGTTCCAAAGGGAAACTAGATGTCATATTCTGATGAGCAGAGCTGACACACATTCATGAAGAAAGGAAGGAAGCTAGGCATGGTAGCATATGCCTTTAATCCCAGTCCTCAGGAAGTAGACACAGGATCCCTGGGAGTTTGAAGCCAGCCTAGTCTACAGAGCAAGTTTCAGGCCAGCCAAGGCTGCAGAACAAGACTCTGTCTCAAAAGGAAGAAAGAAATAGAGGGAGAAAGTAAACAATAAAGGAGAAAAATGCAATTAACCCAGTGAACTTCCTCTCATCTAAGTATGAATCAAATCCTTCCCTACTTAGATTCTCACAAGATCAGGTTCATTCAGAGTAAAATGGCCTAGGCAACCCAGTGAGCTTTCTAAGGGGAGGAACTAGGATGCACTACACTCTTGGCTCTGTGAGCAAGGACGAAGAATAAAGAATATTGCAATGGCTCCTGAACCTTGACCTAGGTTCTGGGCCAGGCACACATGTCTCAGGCTCCTTTCCAAAGAGCTGGTGAGATTGGGGGAGGGATGGTCTGTAGGTGAGCAAATGGTGATGTTGGTTAGCCTTCCTTCCCTTCCATTCACTTCTTCAGAGACAGGGAGTGAAACCAGGCCTCATGTACACTAGGCAAGTACTCTACCATTGAACTATAGCCTCAGTCACAGGTTGCCATTTTCCTCCTCTCCATAGATTCTGGATATTCTTCAAAAAGCTTTTTTATTGTTATTGTTTTGAGACAGAATTTCCCTGTGTATCCCTGGCTGTCCTGAAACTTGCTCTGTAGACCAGGCTGGCTTTGAGCTCGGAGATCCACCTGCCTTTGCTTCCCGAGTATTGGGATTAAGGCAAGCACCACCACTGCCTGGCACTAATTACAAAGTCTTAAGTGGGTCCACTGAAGCCAAGGGAAGTGATTTGCCTTGTGCCAGTCAGCATGAGCAGCTTTCACAGGACTGATGTGGGGGAAGCAGGAGTGGCCTGGAGAAGTTCCCATTCCTAAGTCCACCACAGCTGCCCATGGAGCTGTGACCCCTCTGCGCTTTTATACATAGAAGATTCAGGGGAAGCAGCATCATAGACAGACTGAGTTCTATTGACTTAACCATCCATTTCTTAGATCTATGAAGGAAAGCTTGGGAAATGATCAGAAGGATAGCGAGACACAAACTTACTCTTTGGGCAAGTCACTATTTTCTCTGGGCCCCATCTTCTCTGAGATCGACACAGTAGATCTGAACTCGAAACTCTGAAGTTTGAGGAGCACTCCAGACCAGGTTGGTAAATTATGGCTCATAAGCTGTGACTAACCAATCCTTTATTTTTATAAATAAAGTTTTATTGGGATATTGCCAAGTTCACTCATTTTTACATTGACATGGCTGCTTTTATGTTAAAATGTCAGAAGTTAACAGTTTTAACAGAGACCCTGTGTTGTCCACAAAGCCTAAAATATTTACTGTTTGTCACCAATAAACTTTGATGACACTTGTTCTAGTAACATTGGCTCATGGCCAATTATACACAAATGGCTGGTCTTGGGCCCTGGTCAGCCAGCAACTGTTTGAGGACAGCCATTGTTTGACTTCTTAACCCCCAAGCTCAAATTCAAGGCTTGACTCAGTTTCCAGATTGTGATCTGCCACCATCCTGACTGACTCCAGGATAGAGCTGACTTCTTCCTTAAAGACTAGTGTGGCCGACAAGCCAGGACTTAGTCAAACCTGGTCTTTTTGGAGAACCTGAAGCTACTTCCAACTCTCCTACGGGTAGCTTTTACCAAGAACAAACTCCTAAAAACATTCCATAACTGGCAGGCAGCTTGAGGAGCAGGAAGGAAAAGAATGCCACTGATTGCTCACTTAGGGGCTCTTCTGTCGTGGCTGAACTTTGAGGGTTTTTTTTTCCTGGTCATTTCCCTTCCTCTCCAGAACACACTGGCATATCACATCACTCAGTGCTGTGCAACCCAGAGAGGAGACTTTTAGGGAACACTCTTACCTGGGGTTGTTACTGAAGAGTTAGTCTGTGGAGACGTAGCAGGGGGCTGAGTTGACGCATCACCAGACCCAGAGGAGCCAGATGTTGGAGTTGAAGCATCACCAGATCCAGAGGAGCCAGATGTTGGAGTTGAAGCATCACCAGACCCAGAGGAGCCAGATGTTGGAGTTGAAGCATCACCAGACCCAGAGGAGCCAGATGTTGGAGTTGAAGCATCACCAGACCCAGAGGAGCCAGATGTTGGAGTTGAAGCATCACCAGACCCAGAGGAGCCAGATGTTGGAGTTGAAGCATCACCAGACCCAGAGGAGCCAGATGTTGGAGTTGAAGCATCACCAGACCCAGAGGAGCCAGATGTTGGAGTTGAAGCATCACCAGACCCAGAGGAGCCAGATGTTGGAGTTGACGCATCACCAGACCCAGAGGAGCCAGATGTTGGAGTTGACGCATCACCAGACCCAGAGGAGCCAGATGTTGGAGTTGAAGCATCACCAGACCCAGAGGAGGCAGATGTTGGAGTTGAAGCATCACTAGCTCTGCCATTGATTAATGAGGTAGAGACTGTCATGGTTTTGGTTGAGGGAACAAAGAAGACAAGTGTCAGAGGATAGTGCATAATGGCAATTACTGTCAGTTCTAATCAGTACTCAATTTAGGATTTTCTGAAAAAATAAATATGCATGATTATGTTAAAAGTAGAAACACAGGATAACTTCTAAATACAAAAAATAAATAAAATTAAACATAAAAATGGAAAATGTTATTGAAAACTATGACTCCTAATATAGCTCAGTGATGGCTGTGGAGAACTTAGTGTAGAATTGGAGTGATAATATTTGTTATGAAAAGTACCAAATCAGGAAAGGTGGTATATACCTGTGGAGGCCAGTCTGGGCCACATGAGGTCATGTCTCATAAAGAAAAATGAAAACAATGCTGAAATAAGAGGGAAGAGGCTTGGGACTTCAAGGTCATACTTTGCTACCTATCAAGTTTGGGGCTAGCCTGAGCCACACGAGACCATATTTCAATAGATAAAAGAGATTAGTACAAGTAATAGCAAAGTTTATATCTATAGTTAGGAAATTGTCAATCTGTGTTTAATAAATTCTTATACAGTTCAGAGGAAGACAATAGAAAGTGCCACAAGGTGGCACTATTGCCACTAGGAAGTGGATTTTTTATATTTTAAGGCAACGGCCCCAGCTCTCCATTGGGTGGCAGTTTTCTCTATTAATAGACTGTAGAAGAGGAACTTTAGAAGGAAGTGTTTAAAGAATAATTACATAGGGTACATAGAAATATTCATTAAATCCTGATTAAAGTTCTTCCAGGCTTTTTATTTGTTTTGTTTTTGTTTTTGAGACAGTTCTTGCTATACAATCTAGCTGGCCTCAAATTCACCATCTTCCCAAGTGCTGGCCCAGGTTTTTTTCTGGTACATTTCTCCACTAAAAATTCTAGACACATTTACTTTGAAATAATAAGATAAATAAATGGCCCTTGTCCTAAAGACTATGGCAGATATCAAAGCTGCATTTACGGCTCCTAGAGAGCCCAACCCCTACCCCCCAGGGTGCTTGGAAGAGTGGCTTTTAGTGACCCATCTCCTGGAACTCCTCTTGTGTCTAAGAACTCTGATATTGACAACAGATTATACAAATTAGAAAAAGAAACCCTTTTGGTGAGGAAGCAATTCATAAAGCCCAGTGACATAGAGTGCTGAAGATTCACTCTGACTTCCCCATGGGCCTGTCAGTCCCTTGGGGCATAGCCTGGCTCTTCACCTTAGATAGGACTTGGCTACTAGTGGCTTAGAAGTGACAAGGAGATGAGCAATTGTTCTTCTAGGGCCAAGAAAATGGTCACTAGCTGGCCATAGTCACATGTGGACACTACTGCCGTTCTCCTGGGACTTCCACATTTATCAAGGGCTTACTCTGGGCCTGACAGGACCTATGAGACAGGCATAAATGCCCACACATGAAGACCCCATCAACATGAGATCAAGATGATTTGCCTGTATCAAGGTTTCTCTGTAACTGTCCTGGCTGTCCTGGAACTCACTCTGTAGACCAGGCTGGTCTTGAACTCACATAGATCAGCCTGACTTTTCCTCCCAAGTGCTGGAAGTAAAGGTATGAACCACCATATCTGACATGTGTCATTGTCTTAACTACAACTTAGCCAGGGGTCTGTGGAAAGGCATGTAGGAGCCTGTGGAGGACAGAGAGAGTGTTGGATACCCTGGAACTGGAGTTCTAGCTGGTTGTGGGTACTGGAAAATGAGGCTAGGTCACTCTTAACCACTGAGGCATCTCTCCAACCACAGCTTCCATCTTTTTATTCCCTCAGATCTGAGAGCTGCTTTCTAACCAACACAACGATAGCCCTACACCCACAGAGCACATACAGGGTGCCAACTGTTTTCGTAAATGAGAAAAAAAATGTTTCCTGAATGACCTCTTTTCTGGAACACTCCAGGACCACCATTCTGTCCAGGGCATATCATAGCTAATGCTAGCTAAGAGTCACAACACAATACTTCTGTCAGCTGGAAGTCCTTCAATAATAAAAAATGTTAGCTCCCACTTGATACCATGGGCAAGAGCAGCCATAGAGCTCAGGGAAAGCAAACATCGACAAACGGTGCATGAGGGTACTCATAATGTCATCTGAGTGACTCTTCATTGTCGAGTAAGAACTTAGGACACTTCTAGGTGGGAGAGTGGAAGGTGTCCTTAGCTTCTAAGACTGACATGCAGCTGCATTCACACACCAGACAAGTTCTCAAGCTTCTGTAGGAATGCAAACCATTTCTTTTTCTAAAGCACTGTAGTCTATGTGTCAGTGGGATGCTAAGGCAGGGCAGGTTAAGGGACGGTAGGGCAGGCGCTTGCTTCCTTTCATACATTTCTGGGTGTCCTGAACGTCTTACACCCAGTCTGTACTACTAAAATAACTTTTAAACAAGAGCAAATACAGATGTTAAAAAATTGGATACAAGGGCAGGGTTTGGTAGTGTACACCTTTGATCCCAGCACTCAGGAGATAGAGACAGGTGAGTTTGAGGTCAGCATGATCTACAAAGTAAGTTCCAGGACAGCTGGGGCTGTCACACATAGAAACCCTGTCTTGAAAAAACAACAACAACAAAATTGGATACAAGGGAAGATATGACACTAGGTGCCAAGGTGACTATTGACTTCCTGCTATGGGCTGCAACTCTTCAGTATAGGGCTGTCTCCTCGGTTATCACATAGGAAGAAACCACAGCAGTCACTCACTACACAGCATTCGGATCCTTGCACTCCACTACTGTCCCCTGCTGGTGAATTCTCTTGGGTGAAGGCTCCTTTCTACACCTAGATCAATGTCAATGTCAATGACCTCCAGCCACTTCCGAAAGCCCTCCCAGAAAAGTGTCCCTTCTCAGCATCCTCTTCTTATGTCTTACGGAAGGTATCTCTTCTTCGTGGTGACTTCCGGAAGTCACGTAACAGTTCTTACTGGGACCTGAAGGATTGGCCACAGGGTCTGCCCCAGGCTTGGCAGGGGAGGTCTGGTGAGGCCTGCCCTCCTGTTAGGACAGCTCCCCACACCCAAGCTTGAAACCAGCTCTCAAAAAAAAAATCTTGGGCCAGGGAAGTGGTTCAGCTTAAGAAAGGAGCTTGCTGCCAAGGCTGACAGACTGAGTTAACCCCCCTCATACTGTGAAAGGAGAGAAAACATTTCCACAAGTTGTCAACTCCACACATATGCACCCCTAGGTACACAGATGTGATAAGACTTTTAAAAAGTCATAGGACGTGGTGGCGGCACATGCCTTTAATCGCAGCACTCGGGAGGCAGAGGCAGGCGGCTCTCTGTGAGTTTGAGGTCAGCCTGGTCTACAAGGCTACACAGAGAAACTCCGTCTCAGAAAAAAAAGTCATATCTTGCCAGGCATGTTGGCTCATGCCTATAATCCCGCACACCGAGGCAGTTGAATCAGAAGCTGAAGTTCATCTGCTATACATAGAGATTCTGTCTCAAAAAACAAAGCAAAACTAACGCTCCTCTAAATTGAACTCAGTTTCTCTTCCCTCTTCCACTGTGTCAAATGTCTTATTCCTTTTCTCATTTGGCTTCTAGATCTGAAGTCCTCTTTCAGACATGTGAGCAAATTCCTCACCCACTCACACCCAAACAACACCCCAGATCAGAAGAGGGGCACCTGTATCAGTGCTAACCCACACCGGGATTGCTCTTTTTGGTCAATGGCTTCCAATTTCAAGCATTGGTTAAAAACAACAACAACAACAAAAAACAAACAAACAAAAAAAAACAAAGGTATTTTCCCCCTGGGTCTGGTGCTCTGATGATCATAGGAACACACCTGTCTTGCTACTGTAGGCTACCTGACCCTTGAAATACTGAGTCACCTTTATCCAGACAAACCTCTGCCCTGCTGCACCCCAGAGTCACTCTTGGACTTCTTTTGCTACCGCTGTTTTTTCAGTCACAAACGAAAATGCCAACATCTTTGAGCTGAGCTGGACAAGGACTTTCCTTTACAGAAAGTGGTCCCAAGTGGAGACTACCAGTAGCTTAAGAAGTGGTAGGCGCACTATTTCAGAAGCCACAAAGCCGATTGAAGTGATCAAGTTACAACACCAACAACAGCAAAGGTTTCTTACCCAAAAGGAGACTGAGAAAGAGAAGCCTCATGGTGGCTGCTCTTGCTTGATAATCCAAGGAGGAAATGAATCCTCTCTCAGCTGCCTGGAGTTTTAACTGTCCTTCAAGTCCAAAGTCCAGTCATTAACTGACGTCAATATAGGCAAAGGCAATTCCTTGTTAGAATCTGATCATATACCATAGGCTGCTTCAAGATGATTTCCTTGTCTCAAAGTCCAGAACAACTCAGGAATCCTGAGTTCTTTTCAGAAATCATTGCAAGGTTAGAGGTGGGTGCGTTTAGTTAATCTCTTTATATCTTGGCCACCGTTGACCTATGACCTGTTTAAGCCCACTGTCCTTTTAAACACTCAGCAATCTAGATGTGAATGGTTGTCTAACCACCGACCCCTTTTAATTGTTTTTAAACTAGTTTATTTGTTTTGCATGTGCACTCCACAGTGCTCATGTGGACATCAGAGGACAACAAATAGGGTCGGTTCTTGACCCTTTGCCGTGTGGGGTCAAGGGACGGGACTCAGGTCATCAGGCTTGGTCTCAAATGCCTTGGCCACCGAGTCATCCCCTCAGCCCTCACTCCCCCCCTCCGCCCCTTTGACTGCAAGGAATTCGGTTTTCTCCACCTGTGGTTTCAGACATCCCTGATAAGTACTGTGGTATTCCCTCAAACTATCTGTGACTTGACTTCTGTCATTTTTTGCTGTGGACAACCACTCTGGGTTTCTCCCAGTGGTCACCCCTAGAAACTTTCTAATCATTCTCCAAGCATCCATGGCTCTTATGTCACTCTACACCACAGATTCCAAATTGTCATGCTCCTTTTAGAAGCAGGCTTGAGGGTCATTGAGGGATGGAGTGCCTCTCCCATAATCAGCTTGGGCCATCCTCTGAGGCGTTTCAATTTTCACAGGGGGAAAGTATCACAATTGCCTCTCCTTTGAATTTGAAATTCCACATTCAAAGGGAAAACTTGGGAGGCAGAAGAGGTGACAGATCTCTGTGAGATGGAGGCCATCCTGGTCTATATAGAGAGTTTCAGGCCAGTCAGGGTTACATAGTGAGACTGTCTTAAAAAACAAACAAACAAGATGAACAAACAAACAAAACAACCAGAAACAGAACGATCACCATATGAAAGGGGAGAAAACACCATAGTCACGTTTCCTTAATATTTGAAGTATCATATGGAAGACAGGAGCTGGCGATGTGGCTTGTCTGGCATGCACAGTAAGCTGGGCATGGTGGCACATGACTGTATCCCAGCAGCTGGGAGTGTATCTGATGGCAACAGCCTCTGTGACTGAGAGTGCTCCAGTTTCCTTGGGAATAAATTTACCTGTCTCCTGCATTAGGCCCCCACGTATCCCAGGGATGACAGGGGGGTTAGAGGAGGCTAGAGCAGCCCCACTTAGAACATCAGCTCTAGATTTAAAGTCACGGAAGGCCGCTGGGTGACAGGTCACAGAAGAGGAAAAGACAGGCATTTGATTGCTGTAATCAGCCTGTGCTCACATGTCACCCAATGAGCTTCCTAAACCCTTTGTTCTCCTACCCCTGAGCCTCAGGAGCCACCTCTGTCACCTGATGAGGCTTTCTCAATCCCATCCTTTCTTAAAGTCCAGCCCCACCCAGAGGAAAACACACAACCGCCCTCATGATTTTTAACCTGACTCTTAACTCTGTCCTCAATTTAAAAATTTCATCAACACCCAGAAGCTCCCACTGTCCCCAAAGTCTCCACTCAAGAATACGTCAAAGGCCTGAAGACCAAGAAAACTCTGGCTGTTTTTGCAGATGACTGGCATTCTGTTCTCAGTGTGCAGGTCAGGAGGCTCACAACTGAGACTGTAACTCTGGGAATCCATGCTTCTGGCCTCGGAAGTGCCGGCACTCATGTGTAGGCATACATGCACACCCTTAAAAATAATAAAAAGATATTAAAAATAAAAGAATATGATAAGGATAGCTTAGTCAGCAATGTGAGGACCCCAGCCAAGACCCCAGAATCCATGTTAAAAGACAACACAATGGCGCAGGTTTCTAACCTGGTGTGGGGGTGGGGTGTCAGATCCCGACCTTTCCAAGGACCATTAAGCCAGCCTAGTTGAAAAGGTGAGCTCCAGGTTCAGTGAGAGACCCCGTTCCGAAAAATAAGCAGGGGAGCCCCAGAGGATGCCCTGGTGCTGGGCTTATGTGTGGTTGTGAGCTGCCTGGATACTGGGTGCCAAACCTGGGTCGGATGGAAGAGCGGGAAGTTCCCTTAGTTGCCGAGTCATCTCTCCAGCCCTTAAAATGCTTTTTTTACACCCAGGGTGAGGCAAAATCATAGGGCTGAGAGTGAGGTTCAAAGACCATGCAAAATTAACATGAAATTAACAGAAAAAGTCATCTGGCAGAGAAGAAGGTTGGAGTCACCCTTTAACGTCTACCCATCTCCAGCAGGGCTGTCTAGAACTTCTGGGACTACTGGCTCAGACACAGAGCACACTAGAAAGTCTGAAAGGGACCTACGACACATTGCAATACCAAAAATCACACCTGTGTGTGGAGATTCGAATGCTAATCAGACATGGGACATCTGACTTTGTATGCAGAACTACATGTATCAGAGCATGTTCGAGAAATCCTGAACTATCCAGTGACCTAGACTGCCTGTCTATGTTACACAGACCGCTATCCTTTGCATAACGGTGTGGCTGAGTGGCTAACCTTTCTTACTACACTTTCTTTGCTTCTGCTGCAACTGAGTGTCCCTGTTCAGTTCCCTGTCACAGACTAAAGACCGGAAACTCGGAACAGGTGCCCATCAAACCCTGATAGCCATGGATATCCAAGGCTCACCATGTTGTAATGGTTATCTGCAGCTTGAATGGCACCAGAGTTTAAAAGCATCTTTTCATTATTTTTTCACATTCTCCTTCTTTGTTTTTCTTCTTTTTCTTTTTTTTTTTTTTCTTTTTCAAGACAGCTTTGGAACCTGTCCTCAAACTAGCTCTGTAGACCATGTTGGTCTTGAACTCACAGAAATCCACCTGCCTCTGCCTCCCAAGTGCTGGGATTAAAGGCACGTGCACCACTACCTTATATCCCCCTTTTTTGTTTTGTTTTCTGTTTTCCTTCAAGATGGTTTCTCTGTGTAGTCCTGGCTGTCCTGGAACTTACTCTGTAGAGCAGGCTGGTCTTGAACTCACAGAGATCAGCCTGCCTCTGCCTCCTGGGTACTGGGATTTAAGATGTGCACCAGCACTGCCCAGCTGTCCCCTTCTTTCTTTTTAGTTTTATTTCTTTTTTACAGATTAACTTTATTGGATCTAATCTATAGCAATAGATCTGTGCAGTTCACTTGTACAACAGGGACTTTTGATCACTAGGTAGACATGTAAATTCTGTAGAAATGCAACCAAGAGACTCTGGCTCCCCTCTTCACCCCAACCCCAGGCCACTGACCTTCTTCCGTCATTTGCATTTTCTAGAGTTTTACATAAATGGGATCCTACCCATGTGCTGTATCCCTCCCCCCCCTTTTTGGTCTTTCAGCACACTCAATTTGAAAGTCATCTATACAGTGTGTGTCAGTAGTTCCACATTTTTGTAGAGTGTTCTAGGATATGAATTCACCATGGCTTCTTATTGATGAGGAAAAGCCCTAAGCCACAGTCTTCAAACTCCTTTCTTCTTGTTGGAGTGGTTTCTGGGTTGGGTTTTTTTTCATTTTTAATAAATAGAATGTTCTAACTTGCATCATTTCACACTCCCACTGGCAATATAAGAAAACTACAGTTGGTTTCTATCCTTGCCAACACTTAATACTGTCAGTTTTTGTACTAGACATTCTGTTTAGTTTTAGTTTGCATCTCCTGGTGACAAAGGATGTTGAACATTTTTTTCATGTGCTTCTTGGGCACTTACTTCTCCCTAAGTATCTGTTCCAATAATTAGTCTGTTTTTATTTATTTAACACACACACATACCATATACACACATACCATATACACATATATGTGTGTGTGTGTGTGTGTGTGTGTGTGTGTGTGTGAGGCTGGCCTGGAATTCTCTATGTGACTTGAACTTCTGATCTTCCTACCTCTATCTCTCAAGTGTTAGGGCCAAAGGCATTTATTACCATGCCATCACGCCTAGTTTAATCCAGCACCTGGGAATGAACCCAGTGTTTCATGTGTTCCAGCCAAGTGCTCTATCAACTGAGCTGTATCCCAGTCCAAGCTTTCCTGTTTTAAATAATTGTTTCTTCTTGTTTTGGAGTCCCAAGAATTTATTACCCACCCCTCCCTTCATTCTTATGCATGTATGTATGCATGCATACATGTATGTATGTATGTATGTATGTATGTATGTATGTATGTATGAGATGGGGTTTCACTATATAGCAAGCATTCTCAACATTCATGTAAAAATCTGGGCATAGCCACACATACCTATAACCCCAGCCTTGGAGGGAGAGACGAGAGCTTGTAGCCTGCCAGCCTAGCCAAAGCAGCAAGCGTCTGGTTCAGCGAGAGAACCTGCCGCAGAGAAATGAGACAGAAAGCAATAGAGGAAGAGACCCAACATTCTCCTCCCAACATTTGACTTCTGACTGTGCCCACATGGGTACATGTACCCATACATTCACATGTATCCAACACACCTATATACCACACACATATACAATATGTACACAAAACACTTGACTAAAAATAAAAATTAAAGATACGTATTAAAAAAGAGCACACATGTGATACATACACATATATACAGACAAACATTTATACATACCAAATAAACGATAAATCTAAAAAATAGTTCACAACAACAACAAAAAGATACCAAGGAGTGGTGTCTGTAGTACTCCCAAACTAGAGTCTGATGCTGCCACCATATTGCTCAGTGGGAACGTTTATTATAGCCCTCTGTGTCACTTCTGTGGCCACTAAACAAGACTATGACCAGGCAGGAATGGAGGAGTGCCTAGCATCTGTCTCCTGGCTCTTCCCTGACTTTATCTGGAAAAATATAGTCAACAAGACAATCGGAAAGGTTGGGCATGAAGGTCGACGCCTTTAATCCCAGCACCCAGGAGGCAGAGACAGGTGGATCTCTGTGAGTTCGAGGCCAGCCTGGTTGACAGAG